AATCATAAAAATCACTTTCATTCCTATGCTAATGACACACAAACATGTCTTGATCATGCCAAATGGCCATATAACCGTAATTGCCCTAGTAAACTACCCTAAACTCTGATAAAGTTGTAATAACACTATTTGTAATGCATCATCAGCACAGGTTTGCATTTTGCAGAGTAATTTTTAATACAGATTTGTTGTTTTATTCTCAAATGGGCTCCCTGTCTAGGACTGGCTTCTTACAGATGCTGAAATGCTCGGCTCTCAGGGAACACAAATAGTGTGTTGTCCTACCTACAACAAATTCAAAATGCAGCAGCAAATCAAAAGAAGAAATAAGGAAACGTCATACTATTCTACTGTCACTGCACTAGCTAGCGACATTAAAATTCATCAACTTACTTACAAAGCATTGAAGGGTCAGGTCACTAACAGAACTCATTGTCTACAAACCAGAACACACAATTCCTCATATAAACAAAAACACTTTGGTTCCGACATCTTCCAGCTACTAGGCTCTTAGTCTATAGACCAGTCTGCCAGCAAACAGATGCCCCCTCAATTTCAGTATTTAAATCCATGCCAAAGGTCTGTTACTTTAGCTTAACCTACCATTAATAAAGCTGATGGTGTAATTGGTCATGTGGCTGTTTCACGTTTGCTGCTGAAGCTGTTGGTCACCCACCAGCATCTGCATTGACCCACTGTGTCACTCTCCCCATGACTGGATGCCCTGAACACAGGGGTGACAGCATCTGAATTCATGCCATGGATGTAGCAGACCAGAGGCCAAGCTTCTAGTCAACGGAGGTACTGAAGAGTCATGCAAAGCTGGCTGTAGAAAGAGCCGACCTGCAGAACACACCCTGCTGTCGGACTCGTTTATTGTGAGCGTGCCCAGGGGAGGCTGGGCAGTCTGTCGTCCTAGGTTTTGTTTCCTCTCTTCCATTGTCCTCTGGCTCTCATTCAGTATTTATTTACACTATTGTTACCCTAAATGAGTTTAATGATTATTTTACACGGGTGTTCACAGTAGAGAACACGAGTAACCTACCACCATTTAGTACAAATACGGCGTAGTCTATGACCAATATATGTATAACTGAGGCTGATGTGGTACTAAGTCTAGCTAAGCTCAAAATAAATAAATCACAGGGCTCTGATGGCATCTTACCTATAGTTTTAAAAGAGATGAGGGATATTATTAGCCAACCTTTAACTTTACTATTTCAGAAATCTTTATCTGCTAGTGTGGTACCTTCTGATTGCCTGCATGCTAATATAACGCCCATATTCAAAAAAGGGGATAGAAGTAATCCAGCAAACTATAGGCCAATCAGTTTAACTTGCATAACTGGAAAAGTAATGGAAGCTATAATCCGAGTGAAAATGGTAGATTACCTGGATTCAAATAACATTCTGAGGGATAGCCATCATGGATTTAGGAGAGTTAGGTCCTGTTTAACTCATCTATTTGAGTTCTTTGAAGAAGCAAACAAGAGAAATTGATCACAAAAAGGTCTACGATGTGATCTACTTAGATTTCCAGAAGGCCTTTGATGTTGTCCCCCACAAATGGCTCTTGCTTAAGCTCAAAGCTGCAGGGATTTTAGGAACTGTAGCAGCTTGGATTGAAAACTAGTTAACAGACAGGAAACAGCGGGTAGTTATTAGAGGCACAATGTCACAGTGGGACTGCGTTCATAGTGGGGTACCGCAGGGTTCAATTTTAGGACCACTATTGTTCCTAATTTACATTAATGATATTGACACCAATACATACAGTAAACTGGTTAAATTTGCAGACGACACCAAGGTGGGTGGTATAGCAGATACTGAACTAGCAGAACAGAGGCTACAATGGGATCTTGATTTAATTAGCTACTGGGCTGATACCTGGCAGATGAAATTTAAAGTAAATAAATGTAAGGCAATCCATGCAGGGAGCAGAAATATAAAGTACAGATATTTTATGGGTTCCACTGAATTAAAGGTAGCTGATTATGAGAAAGACCTCTGTGTTTATGTTGATGCTTCCATGACCCACTCTCACCAGTGTGGGGAAGCACTAAAAAAGGCCAATAGAATGTTGGGTTATATCTCTAGGTGTTTGGAGTTTAAGTCAAGGGACATGATGCTACGATTATACAATTTCTTGGTAAGACCCCACCTAGAATATTGTGTGCAGGTTTGGTCACCATACCTTAAGAAGGACATTGCTGCCTTGGAAAGGGTGCAATGTAGGGCTACAAGAATGATTCCTGGTCTTAGAGGAAAGTCTTATGAGGACAGGTTAGCTGATCTGAATCTGTTCAGCCTCTAGCAAAGGAGACTAAGGGGGGACATGATCCAGGTATATAAGATTCTAACAGGTCTGGATGCTGTTCAGCCAAATGGCTACTTCAATATTTCTCATAATAGATACTAGAACTCCTGGCCATAGGTGGAAATTAGCGGGAGAACATTTTGAAATGGATTTGAGAAAGCACTTCTTTACACAACGTGTAGTTACAGTATGGAATAGTCTTTCTGTTAGTGTAGTGCAAGCTACAACCCTGGGTTCCTTTCAATCAGAGCTAGATAAGATTTCACAACTCTGAGCTATTAGTTAAGTTCTTCCCAAACGAGCTTAACTGGCTGAATGGCCTCCTCTCGTTTGTAAATTTCTTATGTTCTTAAATTATGGCATATCAAGAAGCTCATGGGAGTTTTGCTTATACAAAAATGTTCTGAGGGCAGAACAAAAAATTATTGGTTCAGAGAGACAACCAATTATACTGTAGAGGAGGTGGGTCCAAGCGACTAGAGGTGGGACCAACCAATCAGATGTTTGGTCCCACCTTCTCCACAATTTGATTGGTTATCTTTCTGAACCAATCATTTTTCATTTCATTTTGCTCTCAGAACATTCTAGCTTAAGTGAAACTCTGGCAAGCTGTCATGATGCACTGTTATTTGATTTTGTGTTAAACATTCTGTGCCAGCCATGTTGGGATAGGGGCTATATCATCACCACATAACCTACTGTATATAAAATCAACTCAAACTTTGGACATATTCTTTATTTCCCCTTATGAGGATTTTTCTGCAATGACTTAGTGGAAACGTAAAGGAGAAAATCCATGTAGTAGGAAAATTATCAGCGTTTTATGTTCAGTACTGTACATCTTACTCTGATTTGCGCAATGTTACCCATCTAACACACTATACAATGACATAGTCTACCTAATGTGGTCCATATATAGACAGGGTTTTTGTCTCACTTGGTTATCCACAGCAGCCTTTCTAAGATGGTCCTGATGACTCCAACAGATCCTGAGACAGCAGTGAAAGGTTATCTCAGACCCCTTCACCGCAGCGACTGTGTGCCTCTGTATTATAAAGGAGCCTGAACTTCTTTACTCTTCCCACAATACTAGCTCCTAGGTCAGCTATTTCGTCTCTCTCTGAGGCAAACTGGAACAAAGTTCTGCTTGACCAAAGTCCAAATCTCCTGAGTATTCTGCTGCACCAGCTTGAAAAAAAAAAAATCCTCTTGCTGCAGGCTTTGCTGAGTGGCGTCACACTGTTGGAGGAAATAGAGTTTGCTCTATTTCACCTGTGCCCTGCACACACTGGCTCCACGGGGGGGCAACCCACCTGACCCAGCCAAATTTATGTTCCTGGGGAGCTCCCTGCCACAGACACAAAGAGACACGGAGGCACAGCAGGAATGACGCCCAGATCAGCACAGCACTGCACCTACTTCTACCCCTTCGCATTGTATTTATAATACCAGCTCTGCCTTGGCAGGGACCTGCACAGCCCTGCCCAGTTTTAATGGAGCAGCAATTCCCTGAGCTCTGGGAGCCGAGGCCGCAAATCACAGCAGATGACAGCTCACTGCAGCAGGTACAGCTGCAGGCAGGGGTGTAGCCCAGAGCGTCAATGACGCACTGGCAGAGAGTCATTTTAAAAGCAAACATACCGCAAAACAAGTTTACCATGAAGTGAAACTCCATTTGATAACATTCAAAAGAGTGCAGTGTGATTTGTGTAAATGAAAAATAATTTTGTAAATGATTAAAGACACACACACACACACAGGGCAATTCAAACAATGTGAAAACTACACAAAATTAGGTCAAAAGTGAGACAGGCCGAAGAGAATGCTTAAGCTAAACTTTCAGCAAGGTAATGCGCGCACATGAATGACTGCGGTATCAAAGAAAATCAGTATTTTGCTGCCAAAGTATTTCTAGCTTTGAACAAGGAGTTGCGCGTAAACAAAATGGCCTGGAGCCAGACTGGCAGCTTTGCCTATTTTTCTTAAAGCGATACACTAGGACACCAAACAGCAAGAACATCCGATGAGAAAATCAAGTTTGGCAGCATGACAATCAGCGTAACAAGGGCAATGTGCCACTAGCAACAGAAACGTGCATTTCCGGTTTAAAAATCCACAAAATAAAATCCATCATCTTAAATTTCAAAGCATGACAATCCTTATACTATCTGAATGCTTGTTTTTATTGCCAGTAGTCGCTAGTGCATCATGATCCATCGGGGGCCGCATTACCTCCCCAGTCTGACCGCATCATGGGAGGCGGCTCGCGGCGTGACTTTAAGTCTGTGTATTAGCACTCATCAAATAGTAATCACAGACTACAAAATTTAGTTCACTATTATATTTTAAAGGTCAACTATATTTCTCTTTATTATTTGGGTCAAAAACTTTCAACGTAGACAACATTTCACTTAACGATAAGTATAAACTGATACAGAACGTATCCTCCCTTTAATTAAAAACATCGAGCCGTCTAAAGTTTCATTTTGTAATTTTCGACAAATCTGTAAGTGTATTCAGCAAAATAGTTCCAAAACACATTTAACCTCGTCTCGAAAATGCTTTGTAATGCAATATAGGAATATGAATACCCGACTATTGGGATAAAACAGTTCATAAAGCAGATTTGCCTGAGCCCTTAGTAACAGCGATGTTATTCGTCTGCCTGCATAAGCATATATACCTCTTGGATTCCGCAGGTACGTGGCGGTGTCCAATTGCACTTTGTGCTTGATAGATGTGCAAGAATTTTTTATAAACTCCGAAACGGTTGAATCTCATTTTAAGTAAAGCCAGACAAACATAGACTCATTGCCTCACTGAAGTGGACTATGTCCGTAACATATAGGCTGTCCCACTCATATGCTTCAGGTTACAGAAAGCCAGGAGTAATCAGTTACAAACCCAGTTCCAGTTTCCTAGCAAAATTAAACCTTTTGAAACGCGGTTCTAATCACAACCAGTCCGCTACGTCAAACTATCTTCAGCTAGCAAAAAAAAAACAACGGAATAAATATATTTAACAGTAACATTTTCCGTTCGTTACCTGATGCTGAAAGGAAACAAAACACCAAAAGATTGCTTCTCAGATCTGTTACTTTTGAGAAAATTTTTAATATTGTTTAATTACTGTTAAAATCCCGTTTTTATCGGCCGCATATTTTGTGCAGTAAGGCAATGCTGCAACTCTCTTCTTCACCAGTAGGGGGATTTCAGCGCGACACCCAGAATGCTTTGCTAAATAATACTCAGCCGAAAAGCGATAGCAGCATTACACTGCAGATATAAATTACACTGCTAACACATGGTAGGCGAAATACGTAAAACCACACAAGCAGAACCAAATTACACACGTATATATATATTTATGAGAAACAGACCGCAAAAATACGCCCTTCTTTCACTCATGTCAATTACTAACCTAAATAATGCCTGCTATATACGTTTCAGAATCAAGGTGAAATTTAGCTAGTAAAGCTTTTCTGTGTTACCAAAATTATGTTTGGAGTTAAACGTATTGTATTATTAGCGGTCCGATTTTAATTTGCCGGCAATGACCTTAAAATGCTCTTGTTTCCTTCTCCGCACCTTACATGGAACCGGCATCATTATCTGGTTCAGCACAGCTTACACATAACATGCGGATTATGAATGAATCAGGGTTTCACAAGATATACAATTGTCGTAAAAGAATATCTTAATATGTCATTACAAAACCTTCCGCCCATCTAAAGTACAAAGTACATTTATTCAAGAAATGGTAGCAAAAATCTAAATCCCCTTGGCTATGGCGCGGATCCCCGTGTCCCTGTATCATATAACGGCATACTACGCACTGGATACACTGTATCTAAGATGCCATAGTGATGAGAAATTATCAATGGCTAAACTGAACCGAATTGCGTTTGGGTTACCTGCATATCTGGATTGGAGAAGCTGCGGATGGCGACCGGGGGACAGACATGATCAGCTTCCGTTGACTACTAAGGGTGCAAGTGAGACTCCCGGTGCGGAGACGGAAGAGGGAAAGGAGCGTCCCTGACGAGGCGCGATGCTGCAATGAGTTAGGCTGCTCCGACGAAAGGTCTTATAGGGATAAATGTGGTTATTATCCAGTACCTTTTATTTTTCTCCCATATTTTCACACATTTAAATTACGTGTTTATCGTTGAGTGTCGTATATTTTTAGTTTATATACAATTGTTGTAAAAAAAAAAAAAAACATTTCGAGCCCTTTTACTTATTTAGATGTGCCGTTGAATTATTGATGTTTTCGGTTTCTATTGACTCGAGGAACACTGGAACAGTGGAATAAATATGGGATATTTTAAGTTAGGAAAAAGCTTTTTCTAATTAGTCGCAAAAGTATTTTTGTAGCGTACAATACAAATTCAGAGTGACGGCCCTTCTACCCAGAAAGGGGACATTCTCCTAAAGTCCCAGGCTATACTTATGCTCTTTAGATCTTTTTGACTTCCGCTTCACCCAAAAATCCCAGAACATCGCGTGCCATCACAATATAAAATGCAATTCCCAAAATGACCACTATATGGCAGCAACGACCACGACATTCAATTCTCGGTATATGCGAGGAGCAATGTGGTATATTAAAGACCTATTACCCTCGCTTGCAAAACCTTCTAAATTAAATTGGGAACACCGAAAACTGGTTACTGTGTGGAACAAATAGCATATAACGTACTAAAATTTAGGCTAGTTAATTCAAAAACATTTTATTATGACAAGAAACATGTAATCAAATTATTACGTAGGCTTCATGAAAGTTGTCAACCTACCTTTTTCGTGTGCTGTATTTTTCCCCACAGAACAGAACGGAGACATTTAATATTACGCGAGAAGAATCAAAAACTAAATTTAATCAATTTGTGACACGGTCTGTTGATTTATTTCAGTAAAACATTATATGTGAAAATGTCAGAAAATGCACCGTAAATGACCGACACTTACAGAACAACTGGCATCCCACGCGCCGACCAGAGTACCCCGCCCAATGGCTTCAAAATTCTGGTCACGGGAATAACGCTCACAATTTCTCTATTGTTCTTTTAAACTGCTTGGGTCGGTGAGCTGTTGTTAAAAGTAACAGTCGCTGACGATTCCTTCGTTTCCGTAATTATTTTTAACCCCGAAACACCAGTGGGTATGATCTTTTTTTTAGTCGCGTGACAGCACTGAAATTTGCATTTTGAATTAATTTAGTTCCTAAATGACAAGTCCGACGGAGAAATTTGAAAAATCATGTAGGATCATTAACAAAAACAACTAAAGCAAGAAACTTTGAGTCAATGTTTTTTATTAGACAAATGCCATACAATGTATTATTTAAATAAAATGACAACTTCCAAAGTCAATTAGCATAATAACAACGTATTTACATATTGCATCTCTGCATATCAGTTGTGTAAATCACATACTACAAATAACCCTTTGGGTTTTACAAGAGTTTTGTTTATAACTCATATTCATTTAACCCCCAAAAAGGACTAAATTCAAATAGTTCATTGAAAATACCAGTACAGAATATTCAAAATGTAATTACAGTGTAACTGTTTAAAACCTTGACTATTAACAGTAGCCAAGTGTAATATAATAAAATATAGAACTCAAACCAAATTTAATAGATACTGGGGAATTATCCATTTTCTTTTGACACTTAATGTGCACATATACGTACTATCTCGACCCCAAACAAAAATATTTTTACAAAATATATTAACAGTTATACAGAAATCTACCACGGCCTCCACATGTTTGCACTGAGGTTCTGTGAAACGGGCTGTACGTGTGAATTGGTGCTGCTCGGTCTCGGCGTGGTAATGGGCGTAAAGGTCGGATTTCTCCGGTTCATCTGAGGCAAGACACCGGTGTTGTTGTCTCTGCAGTTCTGGCAAGGAGGTGCGACTGCCGCCGAGAGTGACTGTTGGAGGTAGTCATTCACGCGCCTGTAGGTGTCCTTGTCCAGGAGGCTGGTTTTGGGGAGCAAGGTCGACACGCGCTGCAGACATGCCTTGTACCCTTCTTTGTAACTGTCCGATCGATCTGGAAATTAAATAAAATATTTCAGTTCATATTTCGCCCATCATGGAAAAAATATAATGTAGGCTATATGAATAACAATACCAATCAGAAATAACAGGATACTCACTTTTAACTGGTGCGGATGGAAGGTCTCTGAGAAACCTCACAGTCATGTCCAGAATATCAGCTTTCTCAAGCTTAGAGTACCGAGAATTCTGAAAAAATACATATTTTACAGAATAGTCAGACACATGAGCAAATGAAGCCGTTTTATATAAGTCACTCACAGTGAATAAATTGCATTCCGTTCATTTTCCGGCTAAATATATAAAGGAACTTACATCTTTGCCGATCAGAGGTACGATGAGATTCTTCAGCTGGTTGAGACTTTCGTTTATTCGTGCTCGCCTTCTCTTTTCCATTAAAGGTTTCAAAGTCTAAAATGTAAAACAAACGATTTTATGTTACTGACAAGCATTTCAAGATAAGAGAAAGATCGAATAAAACAGTTTATTTGGACGCGATCTTTAATACACGGGTCGGGCCTCACCTTCCTCAGTTCGTTGGCTTCTTTTCTTTCGGCTACTGTTGGCCGTGGATAGTACGGGCGGGACGCTTCGAAAGCGATGCTGGGAGTCATACTGGCGGTTGAGTTCGCACTTCCCTGGAGTTTCGGAGCTCTGATGATGGGGAAGCTCACGGTCCGCGGTATATATGGAGGATGTGCGCGTCATGGAAACGCCCCCCAGCCACCAGACAATCACCATGCAGAAGAAAAGCGTATCCTTTGGGGAGTGACCCCCGATTACGGGGTGTTAAAAAAATTAATAACCATCTGTCTCCCTGCGCAATCCAGCCATAAACACTGTTGGCATGTCTGTAACACTGAGTATATGTATTTAGTATTCATATGTTATATATTACATTGAAATAGGCTACATATTTAATATTACAGTGTAAATGGAGAATGTAGACCATCCATTACACCTATAGGCGTTAAATATGTGGAATGGGACTACATTCGGGTTCTGGTTTATTTAGCATGTAAATGTTATGAAATAATTTATTTAAACCCACACAAACATTTGACTGGAACAGTAAACTCCTGCTGTAAAACTGCCTATAGACTATAGGGAGCGTTGATTAATTGTTTACATTGGAAACGTACAGGTAGGCCTAAGTGAAAAATCGAAGTTGAAATTATAACCTAGACCAGTATTTGTATATGTGATGCCAAGTGTATGAGGAGCTCTTCGTGTGTATCACATAAATATTTGTCAGTGAAATGTATCAAACTAAAACAAAGGCAACTTGGCTGGTGGGGCTTGGTCCTGGGGGCGGGGGGGCAGTATTTTAAATATAAAAACTTATCCCAAGCCACGCTATACTGAAATAACATCTGTCTACCAATTTTCCACAACAATAGCGCGTGTGGTTTTTTTCCTTCTTGTCTGTGAATTTAAGTATCTTCACCTGCAGCGCGCTTGTTGTGGCAGTTGGGGGAGTTGGCCTATAGACGCAATATTTAAAACGCTGTAGACCTATATGTCTCCAATATCCATCCATCCTTTTCCCTATGTAGTCTATATTTTAGAAGCATTTTGGCATCAGGCATCCTCACCGTTCAACATGATGTACACTCCCATTATGACGACTGATAATAAAGCAAATAACGCACTTTTTGTTCAAACAGTAATATAATTTTTAAATATAATATATTCCGATGCTAAATATGTATGAGTGACAACGCACGTGTCTTAATGCTCCCCTGGGGAGTAGCGTCACGGCTGAATAGTCTCACGCGTCCGGCACGAGCCACCAGCACCAGA